GAAAGAATGGTGATTGTATTGAATAATTAAAGAGTCAAAATCTAATGTGCATCTGGTACTGTTTCCAAACTCCGTGCTTACATCACTTCCACCCTAAAGATCTTCACTGTTTACCCATTCAATACGGATATTCCTATGAATTATTCTTCTTGTTTACAACTGCATTTACGGTTTTGCCCCTATCTTGTCTCTAACATCACGCGTACTCATTTCACCCAGTCTACTCTTCTTCAATGCGCTGCCGATTTTCTTCATGTTCTTCGTTTCAAACAAAACCGGCCAACGCTCATTTTCTTTTTTCCACACAAACATTGGAACTTATTCCCACCTACTACTAGATAAATTTCGGACTTTCAACTTTTAAAATCTCAACTCAAATCTTTTCTCTTTTCCCTTGCTTTTCCTCCTTAGTTTCATTTTGACTTTAATGATCAATAAACTCAAATTCTCATTGTTCCTATTAGTCTATTTTCTTTATTGTAATTTTTTAAAATCTTTTTTTATTTTATTCCGTTAATTTTTATTATTATTCTTATTATTCTTATTATTCTTATTATTATTATTATTATTATTATTATTATTGTAATGTGCATGTAATAGGATACATGAATGCATTTTTGTTTTGCAAAATATCTGGCTTAAACCCAATCGTCACTTATTGCAATTTGGTTATGTATTATAAATTCCAGCTGCGATCTACAAGCTTTCTAACACCACAGTTCCATTATATGTGAGCGATTCAGTCAGTTGTATGAGAGAAAGTTCATGGGGCTTAGATCTTTGCCTCCTATACGGTAGGTCTCTGTAGTTTAATGTATATGATAATCGCTTTGATAGCGAGAGTTTGTATGTTCAGCGCACAACCATTATCTAATGCGAGCAAGATACAGACCTTTGGTCTAGTAACCTCATATATTCAGTTTCGCACACGATGAAACATTAATTGCAAATATGTAATACACGCTCAAATCGAGATGCGTTCAGCACTTATCAGTGCTGCTTCCAATCTTGTTGTAAATAAAACACTGAAGTAGATTGACAAAAATAAATATCCTGTACAATATCCAGCATAAAAATAACGATAATTCATGGAACAAGCACCTACAAATCGGTGGAGTACGCTCATACACGGTACACATCCAAAACCAAAACATAAAATACACGAATATATAGCTGTCTCTTATACACATCTGACAAAAGGCATCAAACAAATTTATTATTATTATTATTATTATTATTATTATTATTATTCTATTATATCATCTTTTCGAAATAAAAATCAATCACCGTTTGTGTGCTAATAGATAGCGAGAGTACAGTTCACTGAAGTAAAATTGTTAACATGATCCAATTGAGCGCAAATAAACAAGACCTGACTGGGTTCATGCTATATTGAACATCGTTTATATTGTAGGCCTAACGCACTTCCTTAGCGGAACGAAATCGTGTACGTCGGCACTCTCTGCACCCTATGGCCATGATTATAGAATAAATACAATTATAAGTAAGAAACACAATCAAGAAGCACTAGATATTTTTAACGATTACAGAGCTAGGATTACATACAGACGTTGGAAAAATACCAGTTTTCGATTTTGTGGTAGTAGAATGATAATATGTATTCACCGAATGCTGAAGTCGCCAAATGATGTAGTTGCCAAATGCTAAATTCGCTAAATGATGTAAACGCCGAATGCTGAAGTCGCAGAATGATGTAGTGACCGAAGCATCTGGCCATTTTGTAAAACCTGCCGTGCCAACCCTGTGCAGACGGTGCGATCGCAATCCCTAAATTGTATTAAGAAATATAATTGTTGTATTGTTGATTGAATTACCGGTAAGATTTTAAAGGTATGAAATGAGAGTGAATTTCCGAGCACCTAGAGATCAATATTCTCACAATTTTACGCACCTCATTCTCAAATATTGTGGGGTTGAGGTGGTGTGCTCTCACGCAACCCCCTACTGCCAAATCCTGCATCCGCCCCAGATTTTTTTTTTTGCACTAGTTTCAAGAAAGAGTATCAAACAATGTCACGTTTTTCCAAATTTTACCATTTAGTGTAATAATATGACATTACATAGGGCATAGCCTATAAGCTATCTTTAATTGTAACATGGCCTAATTTAGAATTATTAATTCGTAACTAATAATTAACAATTCGAAACATATAATTATTGTTTACACTAATATGCTTTCGTACCACTCTTTCCCCACACTGCCCCGTGCTTAATCATTCTTTAACAATCTTTAATTTTCCTCCTTCCATTAACTTTCATATATTTTTTGGGTTTTTCCAACGCTTTTTTTTTCAAATATTTATTCTGTCATGGAAAGCCCATAGAGACAAATGTTATATGTACTATACAAGCGCACAGCCATTGACCATTGACCAATTTTTAACCCTCAATGCTCTTTATTATAATGGGCTATATTTTATTCAAATAGGAAATTACTTAAGTAAACATTTATACACATTATTCACTATGGTATAATAGTAAAAATGTTATATTCTGCTAAATTAATAAAGTCGAAACGATGAGTTAATATGGCCTCACTTTCTCTACTTGGAGTTACATTTGTTTTATTTAGTGTGTATTTCTTTTATGTATTATGTTAAAAACAAAAGGCAAGATGAAATTCACATTAGTATTTAGTATAAATCAATTTGAATCAATGTGAATGTTATTTGGTATGAATGTATAGTTCTAAACCCTTGTAATAACCTTACGGAACGCAACAAAATAGAAAACACACTGTGACTTCAACGAACAAGCTATATTTAATTCCGATGTTTCATTTTTCTCCCAACATTCCACAACATTCTTAGTGTGATATTTTAGTATATATACAACGATTTATTCTCGTTTAGCTTACACATCAGTAATACAGACATCATGAAGGATACAATTCATCTCGGACGTGTCTATGTTTACGTCGTTCTTGTAGTGGGCTTTTAGTTGCGTTGATAATTTTTTAACATGCTGAATCAGGGGTAGCACCATAACCTTAACAACAGGAGTCCGGTGGCCATGACGGAGGGCCAATATCCCGATGAATCGTGTTTTCTCCCCCAAAGGGTTAAGGGCAGCTCTCCAGACGGGAGGGCCCTGACCTCGTCCCTCTTCGATAGCGCCACCCCTGTGCTAAATAAATGCTTCTGTGTGTTTACTTTTACCAATTACATTAAACAACAAAGTCATCATATACCTAAAATGACCAATCAGACTGGGCTTAAACTTTACATTTAATTATGTACTCGCCTAATACTACTGTTCCGTAACTCGGAGCAAAACAAAAACGTCACAGAATCGTGTAGGTCTAAATTAAAAGTAAGCCCACTGTAACATCATGTGGTTAAAGTCGTACGACTATCGACGACACTCTCGTTTGTAGCCGTTCAGAGCAACTTAACTAATAAAACACCACCTACCACAGAGTAATACAACGACACTATATAATTTACAATTACTTGATAATAAAACCTTAATTCTTATTTTAATTATTAAATGATGTAATTCATTCTGGGTAGTACATTTATAGCTAAAGGCGTTTTTAAAATCTCATGTAACAGACCCAGTGCAAACGGTTGAGTAGAAACGGGACGCGAAAGAAAGTGTGCTAGATATATGGTGGGGGGGGGGGATTTAGACTAGCAACGCTAGAGTGTAACCTACATTTTTTTATACTTTAAATCCAATTCACACCTGAATTTGTTCTCAAGACTAAAAATATCAACTCTAATCATTATTCATCATAACGGGCTTGGTCTATAAGACATTACGGTACGTATATACGAGAGAAAGTAAAATATATCAATGAGTGTATATAGATCGGTCGTATATGAGGTGTAGGTGTCACTTTTTGCAGAATTTACTAGACCAACTTTTTCTGGGGTAATTTTGGGCGTAGAATGCAAATCTGATTGTTGATCGGGACGGGGAGTGGGCTTTTTCGAGATATGTAGGGTCAAAGGTCAAATCTGGCATATTTAAGGAAGGGGATCACAAAAGTGAATTAGTGTACCAAAATAATGTTTTCTAATGTAATTTAGGTCATAAATTCCAAAAATGACAGTAAATTTAACAGGTATGGCGTCGTTCAAAAGTTATTGAGGTCAAAGGTCAAATAAGACATAATCTGGGAAAGGGTGTTGCCTGTGTTTAAGACTGGGCTTAAACATTACTATGAAATTACATTTAATTATGTACCGGTACTCGTCTAATACTACTGCTCCGTAACTCAGAGCAAAACAAAAACGTCACAGAATCGTGTAGGTCTAAATTAAAAGTAGGCCCACTGTAACATCATGTGGTTAAAGTCGTACGACTATCGACGACACTCTCGTTTGTAGATGTTCAGAGCAACTTAACTAATAAAACACCACCTACCACAGAGTAATACGACGACACTATATAATTTACAATTACTTGATATTAAAACCTTAATTCTTATTTTAATTATTAAATGATGTGATGATGAATGAATGTCCTACTCTCGCATTACCATTCTGGGTAGTACATTTATAGCTAAAGACGTTTTTAAAATCTCATGTAACAGACGCATAGTGCAAACCGTTAACTAGAAACGGGACGCGAATGAAAGTGTGCTAGATAGCAAATTATGGGGGGGGGGGAGGAATTTAGACTAGCAACGCTTCCCAAATTTTCTAGTTCCATAAACATTTGCGGTATTTACCTTATTCCAAACACCGAACTGAAAAGTCAAAAGGATAGTGCTTTCTAAAAATCATTTGTTAACTCATTTTTTCTTTCTTCGAATTTTGAACATGTTAAACATTTTTCTTTATTATCCGGTCACATCTGCTTTTAAAAAATTGGAAATTTAATTTTTTTTAAATTTAACCATTAGATGTTCTTTAACACATAAACAGCTTCCGGTTTTTCGTATGAAAATTACAGTAAGATGAAAAAATAATGTCGTCTTTCAAAAAAAAAAAAAAAAAAAAAAAAAAGCTATTCAGTAAAGCATTTGGTGGCAAAGAGCGAGATACAGAAGTGCCACGGCGCCAGGCGGCAGCAGAGTGGACGACAACGGCCCTACGGTGTTAACGGTCTGGGCCGGACTAAACGTAATTTTATTGCGGTCTGTGTCGGTGGCTTTTTCTTAATGTTGCATTTATAAGCGATTGTATAAAGATATGGATTGAGAGAGGAGTTAATAGGCAAAATAAAGGTCGCTGACCAGGCATATATGTCGGCTGGGAGCTTCCAGGCACCAACCTCGGATCCAATTCCCATCGAGATAATAGGAAACCAGCAACAGAAATCGGTTAGGACGATCATTGCCATCTTGGTTGCCATCTTAATCTCCCCTGCGCGCCCCTTATTTCTATTAACACTCGATGCTGTTCTCTTTACAGATATGTATATTGAAATATAACTCACGGCGATAACGAAGAATCCAAAGAGGTTGAAGGCAAGAAAAATCGCTATTGCATATTCCCAGCCTGGCAATCGGTCTCTTGCTAGCGGTAGTGCCAGGCACACACTTTGCCGTCCATAGTAGTTACTTCCGAAATACGGTATGTTGATGAAGCTTAGATGGTTGAACATCGGGAGGAAACTGATAAAAATAATGACCAGCCAGGCTACACCGATAATCTTAATGCATCTTTTACGATTGAGTCGGATGTTGCTGAACGGGTTAGCTATGGTAACTGCACGGTCAAAACTCATAAGCATCAACATAAATACCGAGCATTCGCTGGATAATGTGGAGATAGACCCGGCGAAACTGCAAAGGAAACTGGTTTTCCAAGCGTCTGCAAACGTTGCATACACACCCCTGTAGCGAAGATCAACTCCTGCTATGATTATCATGTAAACCGCCATCAACAAGTCAGATACTGCAAGATTAGTTATAAGTATGGATTGGACATTAAAGTCATTTTCCAGCACACGCAATATAATAACAGCTAAGTTGCCGATGAGGGCAGTAATTCCAAGAATCATCATCAGGATCCGCAAAGCTTCCCTCTTCAAGAGATCTTTACAAGATGAAAATTGATCAGTAGTCGGACGGCAGTCGGGAACACGTTTCATAATGCAGCAGATGCTGAACTCATCCGATAATCTGTGTGATACATTGAACGAAAATAACAAAATATATATCATCATCATTATGTTTGTTGTTGTTGATGGTAGTATTATTATAAGAAATTTGATTGTGTTAGTTGTAGTAGATGATAACCGTAGTACAAATTATTTATAGTAAGAACTTACAAAGTTTTAAGGGAAGTGAGTCCATTAAATATATCAGGATTGTAGGTCCTTAGCTCATTATTTTCCAGATTTCTGAATATAATTTAATCAAATAAAAACTATCAAATCATATCTACGAGGGAAAAAATCATTAAGAAGTCTCATTGTTTTGTGAACAATTATTTTGGTAACTGATATTGTTTGTAACTGACACTAGAGCTGTAATCAGTATGTAACCAACGTAAAAGGATAATTCTTATACATACATAATTATATAATACATACATATATTTAATTTTATATAAAATAAATAGGTAATGTGTGAAAATGGTAAATGGTGTGAAATTAATTATTTGTAAAGTCATATATTCTTTGTATGCAATCGATTGTCATGAAACTGATAATGTCTGATTGTCATAATCTTTAAATTATACTCGTCATGTGATCAATCACAATTAGTAAATGTGTTAGTTATCGATAACTCATATGGGGTATTGTCGATAATACGTGAATTTAAAGAGTGGTTTGTAATCGATTGATATGTAAGAACAAATTCTACATTTGATTAGCCAGACACATACCTTAATTAATGTTCAAAAACAGATTATTAGAGATTATTAAACGATTGTCACTTACAACGTTTCAAGATTTTTCAAACCATTGAAGACACCTTGTTTCAGATAAGTTAATTTGTTACCACGCAAATTCCTTTAAAATAAATGAGAATATACAATACGATTATTATTATTATTTAAAATAATGAACCATTAACACAAGAAAAGAGTGTAGCCTACATCCTACAATCCAAAACTTCAAATCCTAAAACTTTAAATCCAATTCACACCTGAATTTGTTCTCAAGACTAAAAATATCAACTCTAATCATTATTCATCATAACGGGCTTGGTCTATATAAGACATTACGGTACGTGTATACGAGAGAAAGTAAAATATATCAATGAGCGTATATTAGTTTTCCAGTAATTGCCAATATAATATTCAATATACTACAGTAGAAATGTAACGTGGTGGTAAAGACGTCTTGCGAGGTAGTAGTACCGAACGGGGTGGATTTCCGAAGGGGTGTCCCTCTCCCTACAACTGTTGAAAATAGTACCTCTAAATGGTCTGTAAATTCATTATCATCACACCATTATAGTAAAAAAGAAGCGCTAACAAATTTCTCATAAACGTTTATCAGCGATTTTCGGCAACCAAAGATCTAAATAATCTGTGTGATGGTGTATAGAAAATTAAACCTGAAAACATTGTCTTTGATGTATTCGCTGCACTTTACCTACTTCAAGCCCCCCACCCCCTGATCTCCACTCATGGTCATACCCAAAACAACTTAGGGCTAACTATAGCTTACTACCGCACGCTTATTATAAAAATTATAGTCATTGGACAAATTACAGATTTCTTTTTCGCCCTTATCAAAATTTTTCTTCACATTTAATTTTATTAAAATTATTATCTATTATCAATATCACTGCCATCATCGTCATCATTATTGTTATTATTATTATTATCATCATCATCAGCAGCAGCATCATCGTCACCATCATCAGTAGTAGTAGTATTAGTAGTAGTGTAGTAGTAGTAGTAGTAGTAGTAGTAGTAATACTAAACAAAACTTATTATTTATCAAGACTTATTATTATTATTATTATTATTATTATTATTATTATTATTATTATTATTATCATTATTATTATTATTATTATTATTATTATTATTAGTGGTAGTAGTAGTATTAGTATTAGTAGTAGTAGTACTACTACTAGTAATAATACTAAACAAAACTTCATAGAAGCTTGTTGCATAAAGGATGCAAAAAAACCCCCCCAAAAAACTGGACCATAGAGTATTATATTTCTGTATCTTAAAAGAAATGGTCTGGGATTTATTGATTTAAGACCAGTATTTAAGTATTCATTTTATGTGATCCAATGTTAGAATTTGTATGTGCTAGCAAAGAATAGAGCCCATTAGAATAAAAACGACGTAAAGTATTAATTACCATCTGAATGTTGGTTAGGGGAGGGACACTAGCATCGGTCTAACATGTTTTTCATCTAGTCTACTGGATACATTTATTAGATTGTAAATCAATATTTTTAAATTTCCTGTGACAAAATTCAAGACATTGACATCAACATCGTTGTTGTTATCATTATCATTATCATCGTGTCATCATCTCGTTAGTTTATAGTTAAAGAATAATTCAGAATCATCAAGCTGGGTCACGATTGTACAATTTCTGCGCAAAGAGTGTTTTTTTTATCTCATTTAATAACACAGCTAGCCATGACAAATAATACGTTACAAAATATTGACGAATCCATTTAGTAGGCCCAAGTTTTTTTAAATATAATTTAGTAAATATTCCTGTGTCATTGTAAATTGTGTCTTACATATGTTAGTAATTAGCTAAGATAAATGAGAGAACTGAGTGGGTTACTACTGTTCATCTCAGCTGCAAAACTTCCTAATTAGTTTCATTTTCAATGTACAGTGTAGCTTAGGACTAAATAAAACTACAATTCAGTGAACGGACGAAAGAACAAACAAACAATGAATGATTTGGTTGCACGTTAACGTATGGAATTTTCCATGAATGAATAAAGTGGTGTGAAATTAAGTATTTATAAGTAATACATTCTTGTATCCAATCGATAATTGTCATAAAACAGATCATCGGTATAATCAGTATTATTTTCGTATTCTGTAATTAATATTCCCCAAGTTATCGATCACGTTATTTATTCAATTGCTGGTTTATAATCGATATGATACTTTATACATCCAAGTCGGATTCATATTGCTATGTATACATTTTCAAATGACAAGCATATAAAACAATTATTTTTGACGAATGTATGAAAACAGCATTAAAATGTTCTTCTAACAAAATACAAAATACAATATACAATCCGCCCTCCAATTCGAGACCACTTTGTGTATCTGAAAATTGCGGTGGTCTAGTAGTGCGGTCTCAAATTAGAAACCTCTAAATAGAGACGACAGGCTTGAAGTGGTCTCCAAGCAGCACAATTGGAGGATAACCGAACCTGAACCCAAATGAAGACCGAAGATAAAAGTGGTGTCCAAAAGACAACATGGGACAACCATTTATTATTTCAAAGAAACTTTTGTTTGCTTTTAATTTTTTTTTTTTTAACTTCAAGCTGTTTAAAAAACATTAAAAAAATCCGAACAGCATACTGTAAAGTAAATATTGTAAACATTCAATTCAATTTTTGTATGCAGGTGTCCATCATTTACATAAAGAAAGATGTTATTTTTGTTTGTGTTACTTGGCCTTTCCTTATATTCCCAATCTGTAATATGCAATTCTCCAATGAGTTTGAAAGTGAAAGGTGATAGAATCCCCGTAGTTAGACTCGTTGATCGTGGAGGTGGGGGGGGGGGGTGGCGACTAGGTGGTACTTGAAGGGCCACGCCCACCTCTGTAAGGCCTGTTGGAGCTAAAATTGAATGGTCCTGCCCCCTTTTGGCTACATGGGTGGATCCACTTTTTTTCACATCAAAGCGAATACCAACAGGGACACACTCAGATGACACACTTCTTACATATCTTTGGATGACACCATTATGTCAGGTGTTTCATCTTGACTATATTTCCCCAATATTTGTTTTTGTTAATATAAACTAATAATTTTTGTTTTTAGTTTTAATTATTTACATATCGTTGATTTTAGCAGGGGACTAAACATTTAGCAGGGGAATTTCCTTCCCCTTCCCCTTGGCTACGGTGCCGAAGGATAGTGCAGCAACTGAATGGCTAAAGAAGAAATCAGAAACACAGGACTCTATCGAATTATGGATAAGCACTTGATTCAACAGTACTTTTTGGCAATAGGTGCAAACAGATATATCTTATGACAGCCACTGGCCTAAAACTAAATTTATAAACAATAGCTGTTTTGAAGACAATACACTTAAGAAACCTTTATTTATATGGATATATTTATGAAAATACATTTGTTATAATTTCGAAGTTCAACTTCTCAAATTAAAGAGTATTTATTGTTTAAAAAAACCTTTAATCTGTTTCATTATATTTTTTAATGTGGTATTGGATTGGAGGTCATTTTGTTACTTGGTCCGTCCATAAATGTGGTCTCGGTCTCGAATTAGAGGGGTCTCATAATTAGAGGTTAAGCTCAGTGTTTAAAGATAGGTAGTCAGTTGGTACTTTGAAAAAGGGGTCTCCGTATTAGAGGGGTCTCGAATTGGAGGGCAGACCGTAGTTATTCATCCTATCCGTTGACTGCTGATGTGTAGTTAAACGCGTACTGCAGGAGCATAAATCATATACGCACAGCTAAATGTAAATACGCACTTAGTATACTGATCATATCACTATAGCAACCGATGACTGCTAAACAGTAATTGGTTAATTAAAACTAATACTGTATAACATTAAAAGACCACGATTGACTTATAAAGCAATTTGTAGAGCATGCATTGTACACTAGCGGAAAGAAAACTTAGGTTACATTTAATGCATTAAAAAATTTCAGAAATTCCTTTCTTCGTACAATAATGTTCCTATAGTGTACTATGCGGAGCTCTACTAATTGCTTAGTATTAGTTTGGGACATGGACTATCAAAATCCCAACAACCGATATTTTAGTGAATTTAAGCTTACAACGTTCGAAGATTTGTTAGATCACTGAAGACACCTTTTGTTACACCAGATATCTCGTTATCAGACAAATACCTTAAAAGAAAAAACAAAAAACGAGAAAAATTACCGATATATCAATGAGTATATTATAGGTTTCAAGTAATTGCCAATTACTCAAAATACAACAGTAGAAATGTTACGTGGTGGTAAAGACTTCTGCCTTCTAATTCCATGGAGCTGTGTTTTATTCGTAACATTAGGATTTTTCCAAGAAAACAACTCAGCTCTTACATTTATAAAGTTCTGTTTCCTTAAATTACAAGGAAGTGTACGCATTTAAATATAGCTAAATATTTTAAATGTAAATTTAGCATAGGTATTATATCTAAATTCCAAGCATTGGCTTAAATGGAAAGTCTTAAGTAAAACATTTTAAAGTTTATATGTATGTATTTTATTTTCTTTGTTGAATGGTCTTAGTTATAATAATAATTACTAATATACAGACTAAAATCTATATTATGGCCACAATTTGGTCTTATTCTTTAAAAGATGAAGAATAATGCATTCTTCTTTTATAAGTTGCACTCTGATCAAAAACAAACTTGGTATTATGTCCTATTATGCCCTTCCGCCAGCTAGGGAACTAATGAAATATGCATCATTGTCTTCTGTGATTGGTTGATTGTTCACTTTTCAATGCTTGGTGGATATAATGCACTCTCCGGATTTTTTTATTATTATTATTTAAAATAATGAACCATTAACACAAGAAAAGAGTGTAGCCTACATTTTTTTATACTTAAAATCTAATTCACACCTGAATTTGTTCTCAAGACTAAAAATATCAACTCTAATCATTATTCATCATAACGGGCTTGGTCTATATAAGACATTACGGTACGTGTATACGAGAGAAAGTAAAATATATCAATGAGCGTATATTAGTTTTCCAGTAATTGCCAATATAATATTCAAAATACTACAGTAGAAATGAAACGTGGTGGTAAAGACGTCTTGCGAGGTAGTAGTACCGAACGGGGTG